ACTCTTTCCTGCATAGGCAGGGGGTCGGACTCGATCTGCTGAGGTCCCTTCCGACTCGAGCATCTCTGAATCTATGAAGCTGCAAGGTCCTGCCACTCCGCCAGAACTGGAAATAGGCCCCAGAAGTCCTAGCTCAAGGCACCTGCTGGTCCAAGCAGCTACTCCCAGAGCTGGGAGCAAAGCCCAGAGAGCGCCCAGCTCCATGCTGGCTATGTCTGTACCTGACAAAGGCATCGAACTGCGAAGACACCGTGTAGCCGATGAGCCCGGGGGCTTTCCCAAACTGCAGCCTGACCAGCTGCTTGTTCTGCAGCTTGCTGATGATGCCGTCATTGATGGGCAGCCAGTCAATATTAGGGATGAGCAACTGGCTGGGAAGCAGGCAACACTCGTCAATCAAGGTATCGTCCGGCTCGGTCGGGTGATTTTCGTCACGGCCTACAGAGGACAAAGCAGAGAGAACCTGCTCCAACCCACTCCTTGCTTAATGGAGAAAGCAAGCTGCTGCCTGTGTTTTCCCCGCTTCCCTATCCAATAACAAACTTTGCTCTGCGGCCTCACTGCCCCTTTCTAACTGCTCTTGGGCCACCTAGCATTGTTTCTGCCAGCTGGTTTTTGTCTGTGCACCATCATAAAAGTCAGAGAAGCAGGGCTGGAAGGGACCTGCAGAGGTCACATCTAATCCAACCCCCTGCTTGAAACCAGATCGTCCCTGTCCAATACACGCATCCATCATCTAAACTCTTCATAAAACTGCCGTAAACCCTGACGCAACACAAGACATCGCACCCAAACCTGCCACAGGTGAAGCAGGGAGGCCACGCCAGCCAACAGCCTGCTCCTATAACAGGTTGTTAATATAGGCTCAAAAGATCCAAAGTAGAGCGCCATGCCCCCCACTACAGAGGAAGGCAAAAACCACCCGTCTGTACCAATTTGACAAGGCGGTAAAATTCCTTCCTGACCCCAAATGTGGCAACCAGTCTGACCCCGAGCAGAGGGGCAAGAGCCTCTAGCCAGGAACCTCAGGCTTTGGTCTCCACCTTCCCTAGGCATCTATTGCACTGCCTTGCAGTCTTAATAATGAAGAGAGCATCCCCTGCTTTCCAAGGGGAAGGGCGAGGTTCTGGGAAGCTTGAAGCTCTTACAGCAGAGCCAGAGCTTGGTCAGCAGCCTGAAGAGGAGGGACATGCTGTCCTGGGTGTCTGAGGTCGCTGTGTAGACAGGGAGGCAGCTTGGCTTCAGCAGGCCCCAGATGCGGATCACCACCATGAGCTCTCGGAGCATACCCAATGCTGCGCCATCCCGCAGGAAGCTGTGCCCTGGGCGCACCGGGGAGCCCTGCAGGGGGGCAGGAGAAAGGAAATGCGTTATGTGCAGGGCTGACGGATACCACAGGCCAAACCTCTACCCCCGCGGGGGTGATCTAAGGTCCCCCAAAGCCCTATGATCATCTGCTGCTCTCTTCTGTAGTATCAGTGAGGTTAGTACTGTGTCAATGGCACTGGGCAGGCCCAGGGAGCCCTGACTCCAATCTCACTATGTGTTGGTTTCTTCAGACACTCCTGATTTACACCAAAAACAGCAAGAATAGAAACCAGGAGTAACTGTGAAGTCACTGAAGAAACCAGCGTATAGCAAGATTGGGACCAGGCTGGGAAGAACGCTGAGAAGGGTTATTCGTTGCTCTGAGCTATTTGTATGCCCTCCATTTCCTTCTGCTCATTGCCAGATGGAGAAGTACCCCGGAAAAAAGATCTGGCTGGGAAGCAATTGAAGACCCCAGCACAGCTGCGAGGTACTGATCATGTCATCCTACCGTGAGGATACTGCAAGAGGGAAGGGCCCTCAACACCATGTTTTTATACGGGCATACCTATGCCTCCGATCCCAAGCCGGGGGTAGATGGCAGCCCTCACCTGGTTAGGAAGGCTAGCTAGCAGGTAGAGCACGAAGTCTCCCACCCACTGGATGAGCTGCTGCAGGGACTGCAGGGTGGTCATCTCCAGCACAAACTCCTCTGTCTTCAGGTTAATCATCACTTTGTCAATGTCTGCAAGGGGAGAGAGACAGCTCCTAGGACCGGGAGGAGAGAGGCTCTGGGGCTTCCATTGGGTGGGGCACCCTCCCCACCAATCTATCCGGTTAATTAGCCCTTATTCTCTTCAGATACCAGCTCTGCCACCTGTGCCTGCATGGCACCCAGTGGGCTGACTTTAGCCAGGGCCCACATAGATAATACAACACAGTCACTGGAACCCACATGCCTGGCAAATGCAATGACTCACACGGTGCTGCCACACTATCCTGATCGGGGCAGGTGTGTAGGTGGGGATACTACTAACTCCTGGGCTACAACCTCCTGCCTCAGATCCACAAGCAAGCGGAGCTTTGCCAGGGCTGGCTGATAAAGGTGAGGAAAAAAAACAACACTCCTACCCGAGGCATTTACTTGAATCAAAGTGCACCCCCAAAAGACTTATTCGGGTAGACAGGAAAGCAAGACCATAAGAAAGCCACCAGCCATTCCAGAGGATGCAGATCGCTACCTATGTCTGTGATCTTGGAGCAGATCTCGGTGAGCCTGTCCCCAGGGCTCTTGTCAGGAGTGTTCAGGAAGTGCGGGCGCAGCAGTGACTTCAAGGTGCAGCTGATGGCAATGAGGAAGAGCTTAGCGTGGTAGTCACACACGCGAGCCACTGTGCTGGAGGACAGCTTGCAAAGAGAGGCCTTCATGGCAACAATCCGTGTGGAGAGGACCTGTGGAGCAGAGACGTGGTGGGGAGGGGAGCAATAGTGGAGTTGGAACAAACCAGCTGAAGTACAGCCCCAGCCTCGCTCCATGCAATCGGGGCCAGCTCATGGGCAGCTTTCCAGACCTGCAACACTGGGATGCTAGAACACAAGGAGTATTTATATGGGATCTGCACTGCACGAAGCAAGGTGCAAGTAACCAGCACTTCATGCCTCAGAGTAGAGCAGGGAATCCAGACAGGCAGAGCAGCCTGGGCATTCAGGCCTCCCGATCTGCTTCTGCCCTTTGATGCCCACAAGGGCACACGCTCTAGGCCAAGCCTGGCGTTACCCCCCTCAACCCTCCCCGCAACTCCCCCACCTGCTGCAGGGCGGCATTCTGGCGCATGTACTCCTCGTGTAACTTCTCCACCAGGTTCTGCACCATGCTGGGCTGCACATGAAGCAGGATGTCCCACCAGTCATAGCCCGTCACCATGCAGTACTCCAGCAGGAAGAGCAGGTGCCGGAGGGACATGTTCATGTCCAGTGCGTGGCCCATGGAGGGAATGATCCGGAGCATGCTCAGCTGAGGAGAGAACGGGAAGGAAACACGCATCAAGGGGATCCATCTGTAGCAGGGGAAGCACACAAGCTATTGGGCCCAGCATCTGACAGTAGTAGAGTCTGGTCACTGCGGACAAGGAGATACAGTTCTTAGGTTTAACAAGGGGAAATGTAGGCAGGATAAGAATATAAGCAGTGCCATACTGGAGCGGACCAGTGGTCCACCTGGCCTGGTAGCCTGCCTCCCACAGTGGAAAGTAGCAAAGGGAGCGTATGTGAACAGGGCATATCTAGAGTGATCCATACCCTGTCACCTACCACTGGTTTGACTCTCAGAAGAAACGCCTTAAGTGGGGGACCAAGTGGACTGGAATAAGGTCCCAAAACATTCCCAGAACACCTGCTGCATGAGCTTGTTTCCAAGCAGATGGAGCCCAGTCCTGGAGTCATAGGGAGCTTAGTCTGGCCTAGAGGAACGAGGAGGGCTTTTCTCACACCTCGCCTACCCAGGCGCATACCTTGCCATGATTGTCGATGCCAACCAGAGCCAGGGAAGTCCATGAGAGCTGCATGGCTTTGAAGTGGACCAAAGGACCAGCCGTCCGCTGCCTTTTGATAGTCTGCTCGTCCACTGGGCGTTGGGAGGAGGACCCGTAGAACACGGCCATGGTCTGCAGGGACAGGCGATGCACGATGTGGACGCTGCCATCGTGGAAGGCCAACGCGAGCCCTGGAGGCAAGAGATGCCTGGGGTTTATCAGGAGACTCATCTTGGTATATAAACCATCGCCTCTCACCAGAGCTGGGCAGCATCTCTGCTGGTCACCAACAGGCTGCAGCCTACCACAGACTTCTGCCCCAAGCCCCAGACGTTAACAGACTATTCCAGTGTCTGCTGTTGGAAATCCCTCAAGGCTGGTACCGGTCTCATAAATTACTGGTCAAGTTCTAACGTGCTCAGCCCCAAGGCTGGAAGTCAAGATAATGCCTTTCCCAAAGCTCGGTCTGAGACTGGGTCAAGTGGAGGTAGGGAAGACTGAAGGTCCGATTGACAGGGCCACAGGGCACCCACCACCTCCATGGGGAGGACGAAGGGGGTCTAGCCCCTTATAAACAAACACTCCTCTTGTCAGGCGCTTATGCTGCATCTGCCACTGTGGCACATGAATATCGTGCAAGGTCAAGATGGCAGCACAGCCAGGAGAAGGCCAAGATCTTGACTCTCCACCTCCCACTCTGACCGTTACCTCGTACTCCCTTCTCGGCACCAAGCTGCTGGCAGGCATGTAAGCAAGTACACGGGACTCCTGCCATTCTCTCCCGCCTCTCTGTGTCCACTTGCAGACATCCACAGTTCTTTCGAGTCATGGTGCAACGACAGGAGACCTCGAGTAACCCACTGGGCATCATCACAACAGTCTACTACCTACACAGCTGATCCTTCCACCCAGGGGATGTATCCCACTGCACAGGGAGTAAAGAACTGCGTGCCTTTCAAGGACTTCTTCACTCCTACAGGTTGCCTTCTACCAAGACCTACCCAGGCTCCGAATTAGCCCGGCTCTCCCTGTTTACCAGAAACAGCCAAGCTCCAGACTACGGCTAGAAGAGCTTCCTTACCCAATCCAGGGAAGAATTTGGTGTCATTGGCCACTTTCAGATCAGTGTTGGTTAAGGAGATGGGCAGTTTAGGGAGAGCCACTGCAGAAACACGGTCCAAATCGTTGGTGGCCGAGAGAATCCGCCATTTCAGGATCATGGGCTGCTTGTCGCCGACTTCAAAAGAAAAAGAAACAAAGGACAAAATGTCACCCAAAAAAGGCACCAAAACTGTCCCCGAGCTCTCAGATTGGAACGATTACCTCCCCCTTTTCTTAGAATAATCACTGTTTGATGTTTGCTCGTTCAGAGTACTGTGTTCTCTCAGAAAAAGCCTTTCTTCCCCCCCTGCAATGATTCATTATACAAAAATAATGAGCCTTGCCAAATCTATCTTGATGGAGGGCTCTTCTCGCGGTGATTAACAAATCACGGTGCATTAACAAACTCGTATATTTAATGATGGGCCTGCTACACCAATTTGTTTGTGCTGTCTTTGAGATCAAGTGGAAATCTGCAGCCTACGCAGCTTGATTAAGCTGTTTGCCTCTTGCATAAGTGTTTTGCTTTGGGAGATGCAGATCGCCTTGTTCTCAGCAGTGGGGGGGAAAAATAAAAAAAAAAAAAAAGAAAAGTTTTGCTGGAAGCAGCAAAAAATAGAGACCATCCATTTCTACCCAGCGAAAGCAACAATTACGTTTTCCATCTTTCTCCTGGAGACGTGCGCAACGTGCCGCAGAAGTGAGATGCAAACAGATGGAGAAGGGCGCCGGAGAGAACGTGCCAAAGGACAAAGGCGGGATGAGGGACTACAATGGATTTAAGAGGCTGCACTGAGGACTGATATATCGTGGGCTCGGCTCTGCTTTTGGGGCAGCTTCAGGCACCGAAACTCACCCACAGGAGAGATCTGCTGGAAGATGTTATTGACTGGTAAGCCCTCTTTCCGCAGAGACCAGCACTCCACGATGCTGGTGTTTTGGTTGGAGGCACAAAGCAGTACCTTTAAAAGCAGAAAGGCATCGTCACACCTCGGCTGCAAGGCTGGGCCTGCTCTCCAGACCAAAGGCAGGGATCTTGTTACTGCACCTGTCTGCAATCACAGCCTCTATCCTCCAGATTGTGAACACTTGTAGGGGCCCTTCCTCCCCCACCCAGGGCTCAGGTCCCCTTCATGCAGGAGGAAAACACCCATAGCACCAGAAATCAAGGACAAGGCAGGAAGAGGGCTTGACCTTAACGCTGGCAACAGAACCCCAAATCCTCTGCTTGGCCAGAGGTTACAGATGCTGCTCAACCCTGAGCTGGAGAAAACAGCCAGCAGTGGGGAGCTCAGCTTTCCTCACCAGTCAGCTCTCACAAATCCTGGCTGATTCGTACCAATTAGGGCAAGCAGTCTCCTAGCCAAGAAGGCTTCTATCACCAACCTGTTTCTGACACACTCACTGCTGGGAAGCCAGTGTAGCTCTGAAGCAGTGAGCTGGAGGTGAGAGATTCTGTGCCCCCGTCATTCCCTGAACAGCCAACATGCAACAGCGATCAGCCACTTATTCCACAGATCTGCCCATCTCCCAGCAAAGACAACAACAACTGAGATCAGTAAAAGCCTGGCTGTCCTACCAGAAGTGGGATGGTTCCTCCCTCCAAGTCTCTCAAACAGTAATTCTCAACTGGGGCACCCTGGGGTGCCTCGAGAGCCTTTCAAGGGTGCTGCAGGGTGCCACACAACATTAGCACTGCTGAGTGCACAGACCTGATTCATGAAAGAAACCCAGAGATTTCAAATGGGAATCCACAGTGTCAGACCTGCCGTCGTTTGCTGAGTTCTTTGCAACAAAGAAACCCAGAAAGAGTTTCCAGTGGGCAAAAAAAATGCTTAATTTTTTTTCCGTAGTCAAGAAAAAAGTGAGCGCTAAAGGGTGGCATTTTCCAAGAGAAGGTTTGATCTAATGAGGGGTACCTTGACTCTAAAAAGGCTAAAACCTCAGTCTAATGTGTGGTGCAAAATTTACTGCTCATCACAGACAGAAGGCCTGACTGTTGTAGGAGGAGATTAAGGTACCCTGGCAGAACCATGTGGGGAGCTCTAGTATGGAAGCAGCTGGAGGGTAACAGTTCAGTGCCACAGCAGAGCTGTAGGGTGAAGCCAAGTCCCCCCGGCTTTGCCTGCTGGTGGGACACAGGAAGAGCTAACCTGCTCCGACATGTCCCGGGCCAGGAATTTGAGGTGCGTGATGGCCGGATACTTGTCCTTGCGGGCAGGGTCGGTGGTACAGCGCATGAAGAGGGAGGGCAGGATCTCGGTGTCGATCTTGCACTTCTCGTTCACCACGCTGACGCACACCTTGTAGAACTGCACAGGGGAGGTGCTGCTCCCATCCGACGTGGCCACCACGATGTTCCCCCCACCCGTGAAGGCAATGTCTGCCAGGGCCACGCGGCATCGCAGACGGCACAGGCTCTCCGTGGACGTCAGCACCTGCCCGTTGGGCTTCAGGAGGGAGACTGTCACCAGGCCGCTGATGGTCACGGCAATCCAGCCTTCCATGGGCTTCCCCCCAAACAGCGTCAGCGACGGAGAGAACTTGACTCGAGAGAACTTCTCTCCAAAGTTGGATGCTCCGGACTGCAAACAGAAGAGATTGGCACATGCAGAGCGATTACCATATGCAAAGCAGTTTGACCTCAAGGCTGACGGGCTTTACTGCTGTTCATCATGGCAACCTGGTTTTGGGGCTAGAAATCAGCACTGAGCCTTTATCCCTCACTCTGACACTTACTTGCTGGGTAACCCTGGGTATGTCCCTTTGCCTCCTGCTACCAGAGATGTGCTTGGTGTATGGGCAGCACCTTTTTAACGTTCCTAGAGCCTCTGCATTTTGTATCATCTGTCACTGGAGGAGATCTGTATTTTGTGTGTGCAAACTCAGGCTACAGGCCTCTCTTTCTTACTCTTCAGAAAAGCTTAACTACTAGGTTCTTCCAGAGGCGGATGGAGCACACCACCAAAAAAAATACATCAGACCAAAGGAAGTGTTGGCAGCTGGCCAAGCAGCCTGTAAGGTGTGCATGCACTTGAATTCTACTTTCAGCTGGACACAGTCTTGCTACACAACATTAGGCTTCCTCCCCTTCTGCCTGAGACCCCCAGGCAGAAAATGGGTAACCTCGGGCCATTGCAAGAGTCAAGGCTTATAAACCACTGAAAGCAAGTCCTGGTGGGAAGAGGAAGTCTGCCAAAGCCTCTCTGATGGCATCAGCCAGGTATTTTGTATCAAGCAGATTATCCTCGGCACATTCACAATTCGCATAACCAGACCATGACTCACTGCGGTCAAGGGCTTTGACCTCCCAGCACACCCTTCAGTGAGGTCAAGGTCAGTACTTTCATTTCAGAGCTGGGGAACTGATGCAGAGGGGCCCTCGGCATTCAGCTCCTGATGAGATTCAGCGCCAGTGGGACACATCGCTTGAAAACCACTCTAAGTGCCTTACACAAGGTCACACAAGAAGGCAGGGCAAGGACTGTGTCCCAAGTCCTTGGCTAAAGCCCTAACCACTACACTATCCTCCCTCTCCAGCTCCCTGTATTGAACTGGGACAAACCTTTTCCACATGCAGGGCCAGCTTCACCCCATTGTGCAACCACGAAAGGGCCACGACTGGATCTCCTTCTACCATGCTGCCCACCGTGTTCTCCCAGCTGTTGGCCAGGTGATCCGTCATGCTCCAACACTTGATGTGTCCGTCCGCATCTGCTGACAGGAGCCTGGAGCCTAATGCAACACAAGTGCTCACAGAAACCATCAAGATGCCAGCCAAGGGCCTCTCATTCAACAGGAGCCCAGCAGGAAGGAGGGCACATTCAGTGCAAGACAAAAGGGCTGGGTGACATTGCAAACACAAGCAGGAGACTCGAGATTCAGGCTGTGATTTAACATCAACTACCAGCTCCCATCAAAAGCCGACAAGACTGTTGAGTGCTCGGCATTTAACTCTGCAGGGGAGATTCTAACCATCCTTTCTCCAGCACCTGCAGCTACAATAAAGTAAATGTAAACCCTGCTATTCAACCCCCTACTTTTCAAGAGATTACAGAAAGACTGAAATAAGAATGACTGCAAGAGTGAGCAGTTTGCTGGCAGCTGTACAGCTAATCACTGATGGTTAAAATAAAACCATAACTCTTTTGAATCTGGAAGGGGTGAGAAGCACAGCAATCAGTGCAGACCCAGCTGACCAGATCCATGCACAGGGCCACAGAGAGTGGGAGGCAAAGGAGAAGTCTGTCCAAACCCTCCTCCCGGCATCTCGCCACACTCTGCAATTTTGTGAAGCCAGGGAAATAAACACTGTTTGAGCAGCGCTTACCTGACTGATCCCATTCTAAGCAGGTGATGATTTCAGCGTGCCCAGAGTTAATGGAATAAACGTCCCACGGATGCTCTGTGTCGATGATATGGACCATGTGGGTGAGATCTAGGAAGGAAACACACAAGGTCCGTTCCGGGTAACCTCCACTGCAGGTTTTTAAACTGTGACAACTCTCAGAGCAGGACATCAGCAACACATATACACAGGCTTCCTTACCTGACGTACCAAACGAGCCACTCACTGCTCCAAAGAATTAACTGTCTATAGCTCCTTAGCTGGGGTTTCTCAGTCTCAGGATTGTGAAAGTGCTGGAGGGGTGGAAATCAAAACCACCTCCCATTCTGCAAGCAGTATCTTTAATAAAACCAGCTGAAGGAGCCAGGCAATTCCAGCCTGGGAAAAGGAGCCCCTGGTTATAAAAGAGGCTGAGAGTCACTGCCCTGGTGTATGAACTGACCGTGATGTTTTGTGGAGAGGAAAAGAGAGAGAACCTAAATCTCCCACACTGTTTGCACTAGGACTCACTAATGTCAGAGCCAGCAGGGCCCATGACCGCACACGTCCTAGCTGCCCGTGTACTACAGGCCACAGAACTTTGCCCGGTTCCCCTTGTATTGAGCACGATTCCAGGCGACTAAGGCACAGCCTCTAGAAAGGCATCCGATTTTGACCTAAAGTGACCAAGAGACGGGAAATCCACCACTACCCTAGAAAACCTCTCTGCCTACGTTTTCTGGCTGCAGCCTGCTTGTCAAGAAGCCCAGCATGCGAGTCTCACAAGGTGAGAGGCTTGGTTATTCCCCAAAACAACAGGATAACATGTCCTATTGAGAACAATTTAAGCAGGCTCTAACCCTGCACTGAACCCCTGCAATCAGACCCCTCAACTCCCTAAACCAGTGGCACCCAGTTCCATCCACGTGGATTTGACAACAGAATTAAGGTCACAAGCAATAAATCAATGGTGCCTGGAGATGAATCCCCAATCCTTTCCGCTGCATTTGCTCCTGCCTGTTGAACCACAGAAAAAGGGAAAACTTCAGCCAGGAAGAACCTTGCTTCATCGGAAGGCAGCAGAAGCAAGAGACCTGTGCCATGGAGGAGCCTAAACAGCAAATGCCAAAGTCATTTTCATTCACTGTGATAGGATGAAATATTGCTGCTGCCGCATCCACCGCAGCAGCCACTGACACCTGCTTGTCCCAACTCTTGATAACAAGCGTGCTGTCTACCTAGAGGAGCACACAAAACACCAACAGACTCTCCCTATGCCCGGAAAAGGGTGTTTGTGCCCGAAAGCTTGCAAAGAACAATTCTTCCAGCTCTTTCATTTAGATATCGCATCGACCCAAAAACCCTCGTCCACAACCAGCAAGGAGAATAAATAAGATGTGCAAACAACCCTCTCACGCAACCATGGGGCCATCAAAGCCACTGAGTCTTATGCTCTTAAATCACTTTGGGATTCGCTAAAGCACCTTTCTGAATGCTTTATTCCCAGCTAGAAGCAATGCTAGGGGGCGACTCCAATAGGACACCGCTCATCTTCGTGGAAAATTCCCGTTGTAAGACAACATTCAGGAAAACAGAAAATACACCATTTTGCCCTACCTTTTTCCTCTTCATTTTTGAGGTCTGTCGTGAAGGCAATCAGGTTCCTGCAGGACCAAGCACAAACCAGTGGGATTGAAGGGCAGTGGTTGCTTTTGGGCCTTTTCTCCCACTCGCAGATGTAAGCCAAGTCCATGCTGCCTCGGGAAGGCGTCCAAGGCACCGCTCGCCTTCGCAACGTCTATTCCTGGCCTTTGGTGCCTGTGGAAGAGAAGAATTGCTGTTCTCTGCTGTCGGACTCTCTCCCCCTGTTTCACCCCGCTCAGGAGAGCCGGGTCCATCGCTGGAAAGCTTCTTTATAGAGTAGCAGCTGCTTTCCAAAGGAAATGCGCTGCGCTGAGCCAGGGCCCCCAAATAACGAGAGGGTCCCACGGGGCAGGGCCAGTGGAGGGGCGAACGCCCCGTCTGAAGCGCCTCGCACTATTGACATGCTTTCTGGCACGGTCTCGGTTGCTCCAAGAAAGGTGTCATCTCTGCGCCACGAGTTCGGGCTTTTTGCATCTCCCACGACTCGGGAATCCTTAAAAATGCCTCAGGTCCTGCCCCAAGACCCCGCCGAATACCTGCCTTTAAGGGAGATGGAAGGGGGGGGCTCACTGCCGCCATCAGCGTCGCCCCCCCCCCCCCACCCCCACCC